CTCACTGATACTGGGGAGCCTGCTGCAGCTACTGCGTCAAAAGAAAATTTTCAAAGGCAGGGGCCTTCTGAGCAACTTGCTTCAAACTGCATCAGAAACGCCCAGACAACGCTGAACACCAGAGAGCCACCAAATAAGCGCAACAAGTCAAATATTCTATATTCCTACATTGTTTCTGTGTTGTTGCAACTGAGGGTCAATATTGGCTCAATAGCGCACGGCCAATTCCGACACCCCAGGGGCAAGCAACTTGTTTCAACCTGCTCGTGCTGAGTTCAATGCCTTCAGTAACAAGATTGAACCCACCCACGAACCCGAATGCAAGCACGTTCGAAAAACTACATATGTCCAAATGACACTCTTGTAGGACACTCTTGTGGGACACTCTTCTGGGACACCCTTGAGTGGAGCAGTTGTTTTGCCTCAAGAAGGATGCTGAGGCTCAAGCGGCACAGATTGCCCTAGAAGCAGGACTCTACTCAGCATGAACACATGGAATGATGGTGTCGAAGATCCTTTTACAGAGCCCTTTTGCGCGGCGGGTGCCACAGAGACCGCGGCAGGGTATGCGAGGAATCACGTCTTTCCCGATTCTCCGGAGCTCAACGAACCTTCTCTCGATGAGATGAGCCCAGAAGCACTGGAGAACCTCTGGCGATCTGCACGCAGCAACGCTGAGGAATGCGAAGAGCGGCTCGTTGCATATCTCAAGCAGGAGCACAAGCAGACCGTCGAGAGGACCGAGCAACCTGGGATGTAGATTAAGAACCAGGATCGTATTATGAAGGATATGAAGGCCCAAACCAATGAGCTGAGAAGCAGGCAACCAGTTGCGCAAGCTGCGATCCAAAGGCTCAAGAAGGACAAAGAAGCCTTAGAACGAGACCTGGAGAAGAGCAACACAAGCACTGCAAGACAGCATCGAGAGGCACATCTTCCACCATGCATTCGCATTGCGAATAGACATTTGGAGGGAGATCCCGGCTACATGAGCGTCCAAAAAGATGCCATGGTGGCGGCACTTTGAGACACTCTCTTGTGAGACACTCTTGTAGGACACTCTTGTGGGTCACTCTAACAAGACACTCTTGTGGGACACTCTTGTGGGACACTCTTGTAGGACACTCTTGTAGGACACTCTTGTGGGACACTCTTGTGGGACACGCTTGTGTGACACTCTTGTAGGAAACTCCTGCGCACACTCTTGCGGGACACTCTTGTGGGACGCTCTTATAGGACACTCTTGTGGGACACTCTTGTGGGACACTCTTGGGGGACACTCTTGTAGGACACTCTTGTGGGATACTCCTGTAGGACACTCGGAAGGTAGGACCCTCTTGCAGGACACTCTTGTGGGACACTCTTATAGGACACGCTTGTGGGACACTCTTGTAGGACGCTCTTGTAGGACACTCTTGTAGGACACTCTTGTGGGTCACTCTTGTGAGACACTCTTGTAGGACATGGGACACTCTTACACGACACTCTTGTAGGACACTCTTGTGGGACACTCTTGTGGGACACTCGTGTAGGAAACTCTTGTGGGACACTCTTGTAGGACACTCTTGTGGGACACTCTTGTAGGACACTCTTGTAGGGACACTCTTACACGACGCTCTTGTAGGACACTCTCGTGGGACACTCTTGTGGGACACTCGTGTAGGAAACTCTTGTGGGACACTCTTGTAGGACACTCTTGTGGGACACTCTTGTAGGACACTCTTGTAGGCCACTCTTGTGGGACATGGGACACTCTTGTGTGACACTCTTGTAGGAAACTCTTGTGGGACACTCGTGTGGGACACTCTCGCAGGACACTCTTGTGGGACACTCTTGTGGGGACACTCTTGTAGGACACTGTTGTAGGACACTCTTGTGGGTCACTCTTGTAGGAAACTCTTGCGGGACACTCTTGTAGGACACTCTTGTGGGACACTCTTGTAGGACACTCTTGTGGGACACTCTTGTGAGACACTCTTGTAGGACACTCTTGTGGGTCACTTGCAGGACACTCTTGTGGGACAATCTTGTGGGACACTCTTGTAGGACACTCTTGCGGGACACTCTTGTAGGACACTCTTGCGGGACACTCTTGTAGGGCACTCTTGTGGCACACTCTTGTGGTACACTCTTGTGGGACACTCTTGTAGGACACTCTTGTGGGACACTCTTGTGGGACACTCTTGCGTGACACTCTTGTAGGAAACTCTTGTGGGACACTCTTGTGGGACACTCTTGTGGAACACTCTTATAGGACACTCTTGTGGGACACTCTTGTGGGACACTCTTGTAGGACACTCTCGTAGGACACTCTTGTGGGTCACTCTTGTAGGAAACTCTTGTGGGACACTCTTGTAGGACACTCTTGTGAGACACTCTTATAGGACACTCTTGTGTGACACTCTTGTAGGACACTCTTGTGGGACACTCTTGTGGGACACTCTTGCGTGACACTCTTGTAGGAAACTCTTGTGGGACACTCTCGTGGGACACTCTTGCGTGACACTCTTGTACGAAACTCTTGTGGGACACTCTTGTGGGACACTCTTGTGGAACACTCTTATAGGACACTCTTGTGGGACACTCTTGTGGGACACTCTTGTAGGACACTCTCGTAGGACACTCTTGTGGATCACTCTTGTAGGAAACTCTTGTGGGACACTCTTGTAGGACACTCTTGTGAGACACTCTTTTAGGACACTCTTGTGGGACACTCTTGTGGGACACTCTTGTAGGACACTCTTGTGGGGCACTCTTGTAGGACACTCTTGTGGGACACTCTTGTGAGACACTCTTATAGGACACTCTTGTGGGTTACTTGCAGGACACTCTTGTGGGACACTCTTGTAGGACACTCTTGTGGGACACTCTTGTGGGACACTCTTGTAGGAAACTCTTGTGGGACACTCTTGTAGGACACTCTTGTGGGACACCTTTGAGGACACTCTTATAGGACACTTTGCGGGACACTCTTGTAGGACACTCTTGTGGGTCACTCTTGTAGGAGACTCTTCTGGGACACTCTTGTAGGACAATGTTGTGGGACCCTCTTATAGGACACTCTTGTGGGACACTCTTGTAGGACACTCTTGTGGGACACTCTTGTAGGACACTATTGTGGGACACTCTTGTGAGACACTCTTGTAGGACACTCTTGTGGGTCACTTGCAGGACACTCTTGGGGGGCACTCTTGTGGGACACTCTTGTGGGACACTCTTGTAGGAAACTCTTGTGGGACACTCTTGTAGGACACTCTTGTGGTACACTCTTGTGGGACACTCTTGTAGGACACTCTTGTAGGACACTCTTGTGGGTCACTCTTGTAGGAGACTCTTGTGGGGCACTCTTGTAGGACACTCTTGTGGGACACTCTTGTGAGACACTCTTGTGAGACACTCTTGTAGGACACTCTTGTGGGTCACTTGCAGGACACTCTTGTGAGACACTCTTGTGGGACACTCTTGTAGGACACTCTTGTGGGACACTCTTGTAGGACACTCTTGTGGGACACTCTTGTAGGGCACTCTTGTAGGACACTCTTGTGGGACACTCTTGTGGGACACTCTTGCGTGACACTCTTGTAGGAAACTCTTGTGGGACACTCTCGTGCGTGACACTCTTGTAGGAAACTCTTGTGGGACACTCTTGTGGGACACTCTTATAGGACACTCTTGTGGGACACTCTTGTGGGACACTCTTGTAGGACACTCTTGTAGGACACTCTTGTGGGTCACTCTTGTAGGAAACTCTTGTGGGATACTCTTGTAGGACACTCTTGTGAGACACTCTTATAGGACACTCTTGTGGGACACTCTTGTGGGACACTCTTGTGGGACACTCTTGTAGGGCACTATTGTGGAACACTCTTGTGAGACACTCTTGTAGGACACTCTTGTGGGTCACTTGCAGGACACTCTTGGGGGGCACTCTTGTGGGACACTCTTGTGGGACACTCTTGTAGGAAACTCTTGTGGGACACTCTTGTAGGACACTCTTGTGGTACACTCTTGTGGGACACTCTTGTAGGACACTCTTGTGGGACACGTTTGAGGACACTCTTGTGGGACACTCTTGTGGGACACTCTTGTAGGACACTCTTGTAGGACACTCTTGTGACACTGTTGCGGGACACTCTTGTGGGACACTCTTCCAGCTCCCCAGATACTCCGCGTACTAAAGTTGTACTACAAGGTCGCCAGTTCTCAGCTTCCAGCTCCACAGATTGCTCCGCGTACTAAAGTTGTACTAAAAAGTCGCCAGTTCTCAGCTTCCAGCTCCACAGATTGCTCCGCGTACTAAAGTTGTACTACCACGTCATCTGTTCTCATCTTCCAGCTCCCCAGATACTCCCGCGTACTAAAGTTGTACTACAAAGTCGCCAGTGCTCATCTTCCAGCTCCACAGATACTCCGCGTACTAATCACCATCTTGCTTTTAGGGTCTGGATCCGTCAGGTCTAGATCCGATAGGTTTCAAAAACTCAATTTTCCGGAATAGTGCTTTGCAGGAACTGTGACACGTTATTCAGACTGACGCCAACGTCCCAAGAACGACAGTACCCGACACAAACCATGAAAAAACACAACATATATTATCCAAAGAAGCAAGGCTTGTCAAAAGAAACTTTCAGAAGGAAATAGAAACAAATATTTTTCTTTTTTCCTTTCTTACCAAAGCCATGTGAGTCAATTGAGCGAAGAGGATGATGAGGACAATGAACCAGATGTGCACCTGGGCAAGACTCATTTCCATATCATCCCCACTTCAATGGGCTTAACTTACCTGGGGACAGCTTCTCCTCTTCCAGCTCCCCAGATACTCCGCGTACTGAAGTTGTACTACCAAGTCGCCAATTCTCATCTTTCAGCTCCCCAGATACTCCGCGTACAAATCGCACTCTCGCCTGCATTTCGCGCGCTCGACACGCGCGATCTCCGCAGAGGGTTGCACGGGCACCGGACAAATCGCACTCTCGTCTGCATTTCGCGCGCGATCTCCGCAGAGGGTTGCGCGCGCATGGGACAAATCGCACTCTCGCCTGCGTTTCGCACACTCGACACGCACGATCTCCGCAAGAGTTGCGCGTCAAGTCTCCAAAACGAGCGTTTCGTACGAGACTTCCTCAAAAACTCACACGTCAAAGTCTGCAAAACGAGCGTTTCGTACGAGACTTCCTCCAAAAGTCAAGCGGAAACGCCCATCGGAGAACACACACACACACACATCACGCAGCCCTGCCAACCAGTTTCGCGATTCCAGCCCCTCCAAGCAACATCCGCTCACACGCCAATCCCAATGTGACAGCGACATTCACCTCTACCACAACTCACAACCTCACGATTCCCTGCACCTGCCACGAATCTTTCCGCGTCCACGCGTCTAACGCGCACAAAGTACTGCGCCTGCTACGAAATGTCACCTCCGTCACACCTTGCAACCTCACGATTCCCTGCGCCTGCCACGAGAATCGCACTTCCACGCCTTAAAAACCGCACAAAGTCCTGCGCCTGCCACCAAAAGTGACAATCATCTCATGTGAGCTTCAACAAAATTTGCACCACACCACTCGTTTGGAATGATTTCGACCCGTTCTGAGCACACTCCCATCCACCAAAATCGCCATTTCAGCTGAGACTTGTCACGAAAACCGAGCTTCGATGCCACACCCTGAAACGCAAATCCCAATGGCACGGCCACATCCAACACCACAAAACACGACTCTCCAAGCGCTAATCCCAATGGAACTGCGCAGCAAACTGCAGATCTCACAAAACGTTGCGCCTGTGCAGCGAAATGCATCGCGTTTTTGCGCGACATGTCATTGTCACGCAAATCACAGCGCAATAGCGGCGCAAACTGACGCGTGACACGTCCATGAAAAGCCCCTTGCAAAAGCTTCCCCCAATGGCCTCGAGTTTGAGACGCGACGACGACGACAAACGACGACAGACGTTGACAGACGACGACGCGACGCAAGCCATGCAAACACAGCTCCAACCCCCAGACCCCCAACTATAAACGGGAACCCTTCGCTACGCATTCGGGAAAAAACCTGCGGCCTTTGTTTATCAACCTTTTTGCGGTGCAGGTTTCAGCGTAGTCGAAGGTGTTGCTCCGCATCAGCTTTTCATGCAAGGTCCTCAACCTCAGCGCTTAGACCCTCTTGGTTTGGGTTCAAGGAATACATGTGGCAAGTGGCAAAAGCGCGGTGTCACAGCCTCCAATCTCAACAAATCTGGCGGATAAAAATACACCAGGCATGACACTGTTCAGAAAGTTTTCTTGCGAGCGAGGAATATCGCAGCACAGCGACCTGTTTCAGGCCAATCTATGCAAATCTTCAGTGCCAAGTTGAGCACCTTTCTGGCTAGAATCAAGGCGCGCTCTAAATTTAGGATGTCAAGGTGGCATCACCTGCTTCAGGCGAACGCAACCAACCAGCTTTCCAACTACGTCACCTGTCTTGACGGGCGACGCATGAGACTGAGCCACTCCAAAATTGGACTTCCAACAAAAGATTGACAAAGTTGTTTCTCATTTTTTCCTAGTCACACTTGTTGACTCAATCCGGAAGGGCATCTGGCTCACGGCGTGGTGAAAAAACAAGTCCAGGCCGCTTCTATGTCCCTCTACCTTCAGTGGATGAGCTGAAGTCACGTCCAACTTGCATGGTATTTATGAAGAGATGTGAAGAGGCAAAACAAGAGAGCGCGCGCAGAACGTTCCAATCAAAACTGCCAAGGAGCTGGGGTTTCATCGCTGGGAATAGAATAACCTCTTTGATGTTGTTCTTGTCGCTGAGGAACCTTGTGCCAGTTGGTCATCGCCCAATTCACCCGACGACCCGACGTGGTAACTTACCCCATCACACAGGAACTTGACCCACCCCCATGGCACACCGCTTACTTACCCCACGAATGTAAAAACTTACCCACCGCTTCGGAACAAGTGCTTTTTCTCCCACCTTTAAGTTCCTACCTCGAGGGTAAACTGCATGGAATTGTTCTCCAAACATGAAAAAAATATCTGCTCATTCCTTGCGCTTTCCCCTCCCCATCCCCATGGCACACCATGTTGTCGGTGACACGGATTTTCACACCGTGGAGGCGTTCACTTTTTTGTTGGTTCTTGTACGTCCTAAGTAGTTGGGGTGGGGTCGGGTGGGGTGGGGTGAGGCACGTTAACGTTTTTGCGCACTTGCGCGGGACGTCGGCGCTATGGGTTATGTATGGTTACGTTAACGTTCATGTTAACTGCACGGGGTGGGGTGGGGCATGTTAACGTTCATGTGCACTTGCGTGGGACGTTGATGTTATGGGTTACGTTAACGTTCATGTTAACTGGGGTGGGGTGGGGCATGTCAACGTTCATGTGCACTTGCGTGGGGCGTTAATGCTATGGGTATGGGTTATGTTAACGTTCACGTTAACGGGGGTGGGGTGGGGTGGGATGGGGCAAAATGGCCGCTGAACAACTTTTTGTCGTAAGTCGCACAATTCCATGTTTTAAAAATGTACCCACAATCAAAAACGCACGGTTGCGAAAAGCCGTGTTACCATGTTTTTGGCGGACGCGAACGTCCTTGCAAAGCAGCTGTGGCAAGCAAATCACACGGTGACACCACGCCACGACTAAGCCACGGCAAAGCCCTTGCCTTGCAGCACTTGTTTCCGCATGGGACGGGGCTTCACCAAACAGGCCGTCTAAGCCAACACCATGTTTTCCAAGCCCCGTTTACAAGGGGACGCTGCCTTAATGATAGAGTCGAGTTAAGTTATATTATATATATATATAGAGTTTGTGCAACAACGATTAGCAGGTAGCGCAGGCAGCGCCAGTGGCAGTAGCAGCCAAACAGCAGCAAACCAGCAGCAGCACCCAACCAGCACCAGCAAACCCAGCTTGCAGCAGCCAACCAGCAACAGCTATTCAGCAGTCAACCAGCAGGAGCAAACCAACGTGCCCGGACTGTGGAACCTCCCCGCCGCGACCCGCGCGAGACCCGCACGAGCGGGCATGCCCGCCCACATCAGAGGCCAGAAACCACATCATCCCCATGGCACGCCGCTTTCACCAACTCCACATCACAGGAGCAAATCCCACATCATCAACAAAGCCCATGGATAGCTTGCGTTTTGCCTTCTTTGGCGTGCGCGGGTTCCTCATATGTGAACATGAGCGCTTCAAAACATGAACTCTGCAAATCGCTCCTTGTGAAGAGGCCTTTGCTTACACATATGCGCTGCAACAATGGCAATCCCCATGGCACACCGACGATTTTCTAAAAACCAAGCTTGTCCTGCGGGCTGCGAAAACATATTCACCAAGTCCTCGGGTGTGTTGGGCCAGAAGACCCAGACCCACTTTACACCCAAAAAGTCCTTGCAATGCAGCTGCGGCGACCAAATCACACTGGGACACCACGCCACAGCGCAGCAGCAGCCAATCTGCAGCAGCCAGCCAGTACCAGCAGCCAACCAAAAGCAGCCAACCTGCAGCACACCAACCAGCAGCAGCAGCATCAGCAGCAGCCGCAGCGGCAGCCAATCTGCAGCAGCCAACCAGCAGCAGCAAGGCAGCAGCAGCGAACCAACAGCCAGCAGCAAACAAGTAGAAGCCAACCAGCAGCAGCCAACCAACGGCAAACCAACAGCAGACAACCAGCAGCTGCTGCCAACCAGCGGCAGCAGCCGCCGCCAAGCAACAGCAGCCAGCCAGCAGCAAGCCAACCTGCAGCAGCCAACCAGCAATGCAGCGGTATATTGGCTTCACAGACTTTGCAGTGTGGACGCGCGAAAGCCAGTGTGTCACGCAGATCTGGACTCATTATGATCAAGAAGTATGTTCCCCTAATGGCACATCGGTTTCGATGTGAGATCTTGACCGCGATAGGGTAAACACAAGCACCCAGTACAAGACCAGGTTGACACCCAGGGAAAGAAGATGGCAACTCACAAAAAGAAGAAGAAGAAGAAAAAGAAGAAGGACAACCAACAGCACCAGCAGCAGCAAGGCCAGCAAGGGCAGCAACAGCAGTGCAGCAGCAGCGGCCACCACACACTTAAGCAATAGCCAAGTAGCCACTTGCTCTCACTCTTGGCCGAATACACTCCACACAGCTGCCCCCTAATTTTGTATGTAGAAAGAAATGCACGAAGCACATAAGCCCTGCCCCCTTTCTGTCCCAACATTGGTTCGGAAGCGCAACTTGAAGCTAGTTGCGTTCCAAGCTCCAATCACCAAGAAATAACAAATACATAGTATGAAATGACCAAACAACGAATGTCTACCCTGTCTACACTCCTAGACACAAAACTGCTTCGCAACAACTGCTGAAAAACCCTAGTCACAGTCACAGTGTAGTGAAGCCAAAAACATGAAACCGCAACGACTTTAGCACTTGGGAGTACAATAACTTGAGACAGAATCAATCATGTGCCCTTGCGGTTTGGGCGAATTCTCAACCTTTGATAAACAACAACATACAGTACATACAGAAAGGTAGCCCAATCAAGCTTTCTTCCAAGGGCACACCTCATCTGGCACAAGTTCTTGCCACTCGAATTGCCTGCGCCTCGTCCTTGCATGAGCTACCCACGTCGATACTTCAGACTCAACTGAACTTTATGTGTCCGACAATGTGGGCATGCAGCCGCATGCACTACAATAGAGAAACGCCATGAATCAACCAGCCAATTGTGGGGTCTTGAAACCTTGACACTTTGCAGCTGCGCGTCATCGCCAGCGTCTTTTGCCTGAGCTTGCATGAGAAAGCATTCCATTTGCCGATGTGGATCGTTGAGCTCCGTGTAGGCATTGCAAAGCTCCTTGATCAACGGAGACACGAAGGTCTCTGACTTGGCGCACTGTGCACTCCTCTCTATGTCTACACAGTTTTTTCTTAAAGCCCTGGGGGTAGCTAGTAAGAGAGGTAGCTACTAGGTATAGGACGCTCCTAGGACGCAGGATAGCTCAGAAGCCCCCCCAGCTGCCCTAAAGGCGGGGGGAGCTTCCTTGAAGAAGCGCTCGCGCCAATGATTTGGCTCATTTATTCTTACAAAAACTTAACATCAATGAGTGCGGCAAGCCGTCCTTGGTGTGCACAAACAGCTCAAAACGTTCCGTGAGACCAGGCTTGCTTCGATGCCATTTGGCCAAAGGACTCATGACTTGCGGATGTTCCGTGATGAAGGTCGGATTCAAAATCTGGTCCTGCGCAAGCAAGGCGAACCCAATCCAACACCACGAATCAATGTGATCCGAGCTTCTTTGAGCGTGCAAGGAAGCAGAACCACATGATGCGTCTGGACCTTTCTAGACAGGAAATGCTCGACAAGTTGAGAAACATGAAGGAATCGGAATGAGCGCCAACGAGCCCAAAACGGACGGCCTCCAAGAAATGTCCACATAATTTGTCCAAAAGCCGTGCTGCTGTTCTTGGTGCTAGGCAATCAATCTCCAGTTTCGCCACAAGGCTCTCCAGCTTTTGCACAGTTTCTGGACTGGAGAAGTCGCGCCCCAGCATATTGCCAGATAGCTTCTCAGCGCACTCGACCATAGAAACTCGTGGCCATGGTGGAGTAAAGTCAATCTCAATTGGAAGGCTGTCCGACCCATGCGGATGATAGGTCAAAACATAACTTCCCCGGATCTTCATCACCATGGAACTCAAAAGCTCCTCCGTCATGTCCATGAGATCGTGGTAATCAGCCTGATGGAGGTTTTTGTCTGACGTGGACTTGACAATTGCGTCGTGAACATGTCAGGGCAAAACATGTCAGGGCAAAAACCTTCTGAATAAAACGGATCCAAGTGACGTAAGCCATGTAGAATTCGCAGGCAGTGAACTCAGGATTGTGCGTCAAATCAATCCCTTCGTTTCGAAAGTTGCGCCCGATCTCAAACACGCGGTCTAAGCCTTGCAAGGCACTACGAACAGACCGCGATAATCAAGCTCATACACACTTTGAATTCCAAGCGCGTGCCTCCAACCACAAGCATCTTGAGGTAAAGTTCTGGAGCCACGCGCAAGTACAAATCCAGATCCAGCTCATTGTGATGGGTAATGAATGGTTTCGCCGACGCTCCACCTGCCAACATAGTCATCATTGGTGTCCTGAGCAGCTCAGCTTATCTATATATAGTCTCTTTTCCTTTCTACAAAAGGCAGTGGTAAACGATTTGAAGGCACGAGATTTTCGAATCAAACCTGCGTATGGAGTCTAGCGGCTCCACCTCGACAAACCTCTTGTCTCTCAAAAACTGCCGGATGAAGTCCACTATCTCAGCCCTGATGAGGAAAGTTTTTCTCACATGGTCGTTCATGAGCAAATCCAAGTACCGCTTCCGGTACCTCACCTCCTGGTCTTTGAGCCCTTGTCCAGCGTGACTCTTTGGCAGCATTTTCAAGCAAGGAGCCAACAATTCCACCTGCTTGGGAAAAACAGACAGCTCTCCACGCTTCGTCTTTCCAACACATCCACGAACTCCAATGATATCACCGCGGAAGATCCTGGAATGGATCTCCTCAAACGACGGACTGCTGGCGTTGCCTTCATGCAACTGCTCTTGACACATCAGCTGAATGCTTTGGCCGTCTGCTGTCAGGTTGTAGAAAATTAGCTTGGCGCCGGAAGTCCGCTTGCTAGTCACGCGGCCCGCAATTCGGACCTCTGCCGCCGTCACTTCTGTCTCTTGAGAATCTGTAAGATCCTTGAATTTCTCTTGGATGTCAGGGACCGACATAGTGACGTGCCACTTGTGCGGATAGGCGTCAATACCACTCAATTTTACGATCCGATTCTCGCGATATTTGCTTGGATCAAGCTCCTCCACGTCTTTGGTTTCCTTTCCCTCCTTTCCCACGTTGCCCTCCTCTGCTTGCAACTTCTGGATTTTCACTTCTGCCCTCGCCCTAGCATCTTGCTCCTCATCAGGAAATGTCCACTCACGAGCAGAAGAAAGACATGTGTCTTCAGGCAAACATTCTCCTGGATTGTTAAGGCTGATGTCCTCCTTCCTGGCTCTGAATAGAAAACATCAGTTGGAAATAACCAATAATAACATATTATAGCAATATTATTCACACCCAGCCTTGCGCAAACGTCGGCGTTCAGCTGCTGAAAGCTTTGCCTCGGCCATTGCCTCCAGTGAAACGAAAACAGTCCGAGTCAACATGAGAGTCAAACAAATTGGACAAGAAAAACTTTCAGACCTGCCGACAATTCAGCTGAATCAAAATATACTTGTCCGGCTAGCCCCCCATAAGTCTAGAATTTGATTTGAGAGCGCCTTGGATCTGCACGGGGCACCAGCTAGCGCTCACCCTGGCAATGCCAGCAGCCAAGAAGCTTGAGCAAGTCAAAAACAAATGTGGAATCAAAAAGCCTATTCTCTCAAGCATACTCTTCCATAAACTAGGCGCTAATGTGGCAAGCGCAAGCAAACAAACTCTTCAGAAAAACAATCAAGCCTTGTGACAAATCCGAAGAAAGAAGGTCAACAACGGCGAGCTCCGCACATTAAGCAATGTTTTGTGTCTTCTTACGCGCACGTGCTTTGGGTCCTACTGTAGGTGTTTGCATCACCTGCTTCAGGCGAATGCAACCAA